TCCTTTTGTCTTCCGAAATTTGGTTCGACCGGCTTGGGTTATAAATGATTTTTTTTTTGTTTTCTTAGCTCATGGTGGTTTGTATCGTTCAAATAATTTCATATACGATAGCCTCTACCTCAAACTTGAGGTGGGCTCGAGCTGATTTACATACACTTCACTCAATTTATATACATTTACATCTCTGACACCTCGGTTGCATTTTTGGGACAGATTTACATACATACCACTCAATTCTTACATATCGAATAATTTAATTGCATGGGCTGATTTTGGCAAGCTAATTGGAACATTTTAAAAACACGTTTTGTGGGCTGAATTGGCTTCAGTTTAGAGCTTTTAAAAATGTATTTTGGTGGGCTGAAATGACTGTAATTTTGGGGGGCTTTTAAATGGAACTTTTGCCGAAGTTTTGGGCTGCATTTTGACCCTGTTTTGGCAAGGTTATGAGTTGCAATTTGGCCCTATTTTGGCGAGATTTTAGGCTGTGGATTGGCCATGTTTCGGTGAGGTTTTGACTGTAGTTTGAGCCTGTTGTGGGGAGTTGGGCTATAGCTTTTGGGCTTGGTTTCTGGTGTTGGTTTGTTTGTGGCTGGGTTTTGGCCTAGTTAGGGGCTGCGATTTGATCCTGTCGTTGGGTGTTGGGCTGGTGTCTTCCCCTGGTTGTTCCTAGCAGTGAGTTTTCCCAGTTTGTAGTCTCCTGGTTGTCCCTACCCGTGAGCTTGTAAGGTGTTTGTTTGGGTTTAGTTTGCTTTCTTTGCTGCCCCCGGCCGGGAGCACTTATTGGGTTTTATTCGTGTGGTGTTATGTCTACCGCTTTGTGGAATTATTAGTTCAAGGCGAAATTGGAGGCTCTGACGTATATAAATTGAGATGCTTTAATTCTCATGTTTGGAAGAATTCAAATGCTCTTTTCTGAGGAATGATCTGTTAGATGTTTGGAAGTGTTTCGGGGCCCAATTTTGCGGGCTAGATCACTTGCAAAAAAAAACAGAGAAGAGAAAGAAAAGATGATGAATTTTCTGATATTTTGGAATGGCTTGGAAGTTTCTAAGTTGTATCTTTTAAAGATGTTTCATGGCTAGCATGAGGAGTGTGCGGCATCGGGAAGTGTGCCCATCTCATTGCCCGTTCGAGAAGCCCCGCCAATTGTATGTTTTAGGCTAACCCTCCTACCACTATGACTCTTCTCTCCTGAATTGGTTTTGGAGGTGGGTTAGTTTTCTTTCTTTTTCATTTCTCGTTTTTCGATTTATTTTCATTGCTTCTTGGTTTAGGTTTTCGGTGCTTATGTACGATACATAAGTGCGCATATATAGTCATCGCTATATATGAAACTATCAAGCAAGGTCGTAAGTAGGTCGGTTTTGTTTTGGGGCTTAGGGCGATGATGACAAAGGCACATCAGTGGCAGAGCGGAATGATATTTCATCCTAAGACATTAAGACCCAATTCAGGGACTCGGTAAACCTTAGGACGATAGTATCATTCATCGACGCAAGACTAGCGATGGACCCGTACCTTCTTAGGTTGTTGGTGTCCCTACGCCTGACGGCGTAATCGACTCATGGACAACTATAATTTTCAAAATTTCAAGGATAGATACGATAAGAACAGATACACTATTTACAAAAAAATATATTTTCACTACAAACAAAATTGATATAACTTTTTTTTTGTATGTCTGAAATCCATGTGCATGCTAAAATATAAATTTTAAATATATTGTAGATGGTTGTCCACTTCTCGATTACCAGTACCGGGCTAAAGAGCATCCTACTAATTTAGGTTTAGTAGGATACTCATCTAGTTGAGTGGCGGGTTCTATATATTCGGGTGACCGATAGTAGCCGCCTTAGACGTCCATCGAGTATAAATATATAATATCTGAGCTTAGTCCCGACCCGAGTGCTTGCGGTTTTCTCTTTTCAGGCTTTTTTGTGTGATTTTATTGGAACTTTTGGTAAAGCACTCGTGGTTTTTTCCGGGATCTTCCCATGTTTTCGATGACTTTCTTTGATTTGTCATTACTGCTTTTCTCGAGTTTTCCATCGTGGGTCATTTGTCACTTTTTCTCGAGTTTTTCAGGTGGTGTTTCTTTTGTTGTTCATTTTTACTTATACAATGCATGCTAGTTTGTTTCTTAAATTTTGTCACTATATTTGTACCTGCTACATCAATCACACTTAAAAAAATAGTGAACCTCCCAGATATACATGTTTGATTTATATTACAGCACACTTTACTGTTCTTCTCTACTGTACATTCTATTATTTTCCTATACTGCATGTTTTACTGCTCATATACATATTGTGTTGTCACTGTTTTCCTTTGTTATACCTGCTATTGTTTCTTTTACACACTATATCTTAGAATAGGAGGTCAGTAGTTTGGTTTAATAGGAGGTACCCAGTAGCAGATCATCAACTCAACAATTGCATGTACATTTAAACATAAACTAAACATGAAATTGCTACGACGTGGAGCTTGGATTTAACACCGTGGGCAGCACGACGAGGATGTACAGAAGAACAACTTCAATAGATCTACAACAACAAACATTTTCTTTAGAATTAAACAGCAAGTCATAGGATTTCGAGGTAGTCTGACTAGCGCGACATAAATCCTCACTCTATCTTTTAGGTCTTTGCACAGCCAAGTTGTGCAATTTAAGCCCTAACTCGCATTAGGTTCCGAGACGACAACGTAAACTCTCATATCTTCCAGGCAATTTGTTACAAATATAAGTCATAAATGATAAAATTAGCATGATGAAACATCAAATAACATTTTTTTCTAAATTGAAGTCAAAAGATAAGATAGTTTGGGAAGTCACCGAGGTTTCCCCCAGGATCCATGACATCCCCTACTTTTCTTTCCTTTGATTCCAGAAATAAATGTTCTCATTTGGTCTTTTTCCCACTTGACTTTTCTATGTCCAATCTTGGAAACCCTAAACTTTGAATTCATGAAGATTGATACCTCTGATCATCATCGAGAGTTCTCTTAAGTGACCTCAGTCATTTGAGAGGTAATTAACTATAGGGGTTTGCCTCTATAGGGAGTTTTAAGAAATCAGTAGGGAGTTTTAAGAAATAAGGTAATATAAACCCTATCTAATTTTTTATATTAGATAGGAGAACTTGTCAGTCAAAATAAAAGGTTCTCACGCTAAAACGGATGTCATAAATTCTTTAGTTTATTTAATTAAGCACCACCAGCAAGTTGTGTATCTATCCTTCGAGGCAGATATATTGTTTGTGGTTGTGCTCGATCATTTAAACTATTGTAAATATATATATATTAAATTAAACATCTTTTAAAACCGAACGTCGGGATATCCTTTCGGCGGCCGACAATTTCTAAATTTTTTAAGCGACCGACAACGCCTTCCTGTTGCCCTTTCCAGCCGCCTATCACGTTATTGTCGCCTGCCATCCAAACGTCAACCAACCTATTAACCTCCTTCCACCCAGTCACTATCTCCTTGCTCTCCTCCCCCATTGCAACCGTCGGACAGCCCCCATAGCTATTTCTTATAGTCCACTTTGTCGTCCCCCTTCCAGAATTTTCATGTACCCTAACTATCACCTTCTAAAACCAACACTCCCCCCTTTCCTTTGCACTGTCGCTGCCTCCCAAACCTGCGCCCACCATGTTGTCACCCCCAAACAGAAACTACTGTTGTTTTATAGTTGTCATTTTGCTGTCTAGCCTCCCGGATTTGCTGACATCCCCAAACCGCAACCCCACAATCCCCGTGTTGCTGCTATTACTGCCTACTGACACTCCCTACTGCCATTCTAACCCTTAACATGCTAAACACTCCTCGTAACCAACCACCAGCACCTCTGGATCAACCCCTTGTGGGGGCATTTGTGTGTCATGATTTTTGTTGTTTCCTTTGCACTGTCGCTGCCTCCCAAACCTGCGCCCACCATGTTGTCGCCCCCAAACAGAAACTACTTATGTTTTATAGTTGTTAATCTGCTGTCTAGCCTCCCGGATTTGCTGCCATCCCCAAACCGCAACCCCACAATCCCCGTGTTGCTGCTATTACTGCCTACTAACACTCCCTACCGCCATTCTAACCCTTAGCATGCTAAACACTCCACGTAACCAACCACCAGCACCTTTGGATCAATCCCTTGTGGGGGCATCTGTGTGTCATGATTTTTGTTGTTTTTACTTTTAAGTTTGTTGGGTTGTAATCGCATACTTACTTTCAGTAATAATATTTACTTTTCTATTGTTGTTTGGGTTAACTCTGATATCACAACAAACTTGTACTTAAATTGATTGAGTAAAAATCATCAACTACAAATGTCAATTATTGATTGGATGAAAAATCAAATCAACTATAAGCTAGAAAATAGGACAAGATGGAATATTTGTGGTTGGTTCCTTGTGCATTTTAAGCTAAAATTTTAAGAAGATTTTCACTCATGACTACTTGACTCAATTTGTATAGCTCAACTTGGATGCAACAATGAAGGTTTTTGAAGATGCCAACAAGATGTTTTAACACAGCTTTTTTTTTTTTACCTACTTTCCTTATAAATGAATTTGATTACATTTTGCAAGCTTAGCTTTCAGAGAAAATATAAAAATTATTTTGTGCAACTCATATAAATGGCATGAAAGGTTGTTGGACCAAATTTCCAGACAAAACAGAGATAAGAGCAATGTGGAGCGGAGCACCTGGGACAATTTTAGGGGATTTATTTTCATGCCAAGGCATATATGGCTGACAGCCTCGGTCTAAGTTCCAAAGGGTCTTTGGAACCCATCGAATTCCCTATTGATGAGTCAAGACATTAAAGCAAGTAGTTGGAATCATTGATCTATGTTCCATGAAGGGGAGAGCTTAAGTTTGAAAAGCACCCCCTTAAATATGTCATTATCCATTTAACTTTAGTAATTATTATCAAGAAAAAGTTGGACGAACAATCTTGGAATATTTTGTGTATATTAGATCACATATAATGTGAAGTTCTAACCTTTACCACTTGGAAAGTTGTCCCAATCATTTACTTTGGTCCAAATCTCTTCACCTGTGTCAAGCTGCAAGCTGCAAGTATTATATTTTTCTCCATATAAAATAATTAACTTATAAACCAATCACAAAATCGCAGCATATCAACATTTTATATCTCAAAAAGAAAAAGGTTGTACATGAAAAATACTCAACTAGTTTGAAAATAAACAAAAAACCCACTTCGTATTTTTTTTTAATGGTGGTAGACGGGATTCAATACCATGACTATAGCAAAGAATTTCTAATGCATCTTCTGAATAAAATGAATAATATTCCCCCACCAAGTCTACCATAGAAACTTAGAACTGAACTACCTGTGTATCATTAGCTCCCCACTTAAAAACCTAAAACCATCACCTGCAACTTTATTGATGAGATCTACAAAGGGCTATATTGTTTTACTAACAAGTGTTTCGGTCTTAGTTCCAAATGAAAACAATATTCTAACCTAGCACCCCATTAATTTAATATGATTATATTATTATTAATAGTGAAAATGTTAAATTGAAGGTAACTTCGTAGCCACCAAGGTTGAAGCTCACTTCTCTCACCTTAAAGGCAAATTTCAAAAAGCGAAACTCTATTTCATCCAATTTAACCCAAACAAATGCTTGAACTTGCCTCTAAAAGATCCAGTAATTTCTAAAAGAAAAAAGATCCAAAATGATCTCTCAAATATTTGTGAGGATTTATTCTAGTCCCAAATTATGTAAAAGGTTCCGGTTAGTCCCAAACTCTTTAAATAGGGACAAAAAATAGACATGTCACCGGAACTAATGAAGATTTAAGTTAATAATTTCAAAAAATGAGAGTATTTTAACAAAATATATTAAAAAAAAGAATCAACTCATCTCACAACTTAAGCGATAATCCCCTCCGGTAGTATGCAAAGTTAGAAGTCAATGTATAAGTGCATTATCTTAGTTAAAAAAAAATGATGTGCGGTAAAAAAATTATTTATGAGCTTGCAATCACATAATTTAAAATGATCAATTACAGAAAATTCTAATCTACTTCTTGCTATTGCTCAAAATAGTTCGATGAAATTTTAAAAATTAAGAAAACCTAACCATTAAAGATGGAAATCTGTCATTAAATTATGGATAAAAAATTAAAAAAAAAAACTATTGTAGTTTATCTGAAACAAATTTATACCTTCTCCAAAGTGTAGTCCTGCATTTTCTCACAAAGACCATCCAGAAGTTCAACAACTCTTAGTTCACTCACTCTATAATAATAAAAAACCAAAGGTACAAAGTCAGCTCCCAGCCAGAGAAAATGCAAACCAAACGAAAAAATCAATGGATTCAACTATACAAGCATTTTTACTAGGGTGGAATGATAAAACTCTAAATAAGTGCAACTCTCATTAGCTAATTACAACAACAACAACAACAAAGTCTTAATCCCACTACGTGGGGTCGGCTACATGAATCTTTTTTCTCCATTGCGTCCTATTTAGTGTCATATTTTCATTTAGTTCTAGTAAATTAAGATCATTTTTCATACAATAAGCCCAAGTCTTCCTAGGTCTATCTCTGCCTTTCTTAACACAAGTCGAATCTAAAACATCTACTCTCCTAATCGGATCATCAAATGGTCTCATTAGCTAATTACTATAAACAAAATTTATCCAGATGCTTTATTGAGAAACGGTAAATAAGTATGGAAAACTGATATATTTGCAAAATAAAAATCAAAGATTATCCTCAAACAAAGAGTTATATCACATACATACAATTTTCAAACCCAAAAAAGCACAATTAAAAGTTTGATTTACTTGCTAATGAACAAAGAGAAATAAATCTTTTTAGGGGCATTTACATGCATACCACTCAATCACTATGTATTTACATATCAAACACCTAAACTTACTTTTTTACATTTTTACCACCCAAATCTTTCATATAATCATATCACATCGAAAATACCAAATGCACCACTTTCATGCATAGGTAAGGTCATATATATAGATCTAAAAATTGAAGTTTAGAAGTTGAATATAGAAATACATAGGAATTGAGTGGTATGTATGTAAATCTTCCATCTTTGTAACAGATAAATCAAAAAGAATAATAATCAAAGTTATTTCTTCAACCGCTTTGCTGCTCTCAAGGATACCTAAGTGAGATTTGATGAAATTGAATAGTGGTTGCATTGTATGATGACAAATGTACAGAAATTTTTCCCAAACCTCTTCCTTACTGTGACAAGGCGAAAATTTCATAATACAATGAACAGGCTTAAACAGATGAAAAGCATAAATTGTTTGGGGCATCAGATAAAAATTGATGGAGATACGTTAAAGACTATTTAATTTATTTGCTTTATTTTGAAGCTTTGAGTTCAATTTATTGGAAACATGTCTACAATGATCCGCATATGAGGCCGGAATGTGTCCTCTTAAGGGCTGTTTAGGATCACTTCTGGTTTTCATTTTTTATTTTTTATTTTTGATTTGTTTATGTTTTTACCTAAAATGAAACATATTTGATTATGTTATAACATGATTAGTTTTTTTTAAGAACACTCAAATCATCTTTTTGGTAATTTCAGTATTTTTAAAAACAAATTAATTTATGGTTTAAACAAAAGATAAAAGCATACAGAAAAAACACTAAGCAAATATATTTTTAACATAAAAATAAAAATAAAAAAAATAAAAGTGATCCCAAACAAGCTTGTATTAGCTTCTTAGTCGTATGGGTACAAGTGAACCTATCCCAATACATGCAAGATTTTGATTTCAAAAAAATCTATAAATAATGCTAAAAAAACAGATGAAAGATTATAAAAATATGATATTAGGCTAGTAAGAAAGTTTTTTTTGCTTAATAAAATTTCTATTCTATTCAATTTTGTGTGCCTTGTAAGTTGTTGGATTCAAAAGTGATTGATAATTTCAAAAAGTCTTATTTTGTAAATATATAGTGCGATGGCAGAAGCACTCAACAGAAAAAAAAAAAGGAAGGATTTCAAAAAAGGGGCATTTACATACCTACCACATAATTCTTATGCATTTACATACTAACACCTAACATTCCTATTTACATGCATACCTCTCAAATCATTAATATCACATCAAAAATACTACAGTTAGTTACTTTTTAAAAATAAAATACATATTTTCATGCATAAATTTATAGCACCAAAATATCATAAATATAGATATAAAACTATACGTGTTGGACGTAAACATAAGAATTAGGTGGAATTTATATTTTTCTTCATAAAATTACCACAAAGATCTGGGATTAAGCTAATTATGATGTGATGACAATCTTATCAAAATTTTTAAATAATTACAGAAGATTATTACCATGCATTACACGCAAGCTAAATAATGGAGCGTGTAATGAGGTTCACTTTCTTGTAGATATATATGTAGTTCTATATGAGGACTAAACATATTGCATTACTAAGTGTGGTAATATGATTAATTAATAACTAATTAAATAAGTATAGTTTCTTATTACTTGAAAATAAAAAGATAATGAAGATAAATGAGGAAAAACGAGAGATATAATTCATAGAAATACCTGTAATCAATTAGTTTTCCTTCACGTTGACCTTTAGAATCCAATCGATGACGCATGTCAAGATGGTTTCTAGGTTTCTCCTTAAAAAACATAAAATAGCAAGATTAGTGAATCGATTCTCACAACAAGCTTTGGTTGTAATTACAAGATTTTTCAAAGAAGAAAGCGATGGTTAATGTTATTTATGAAAAAGAATAAAAGTAAGCAAGCGGCACTCATTACAATATAAGGTAAATAAGCAAACCAAAACTACAACACATTTCTTTGAAAGATATATATGATCCATTAAAATGAAAAGTTTGAGTAATTTTTTTTTGTTTCTTCCATTATTTACATTAATGGTTATTCAAAATAGAATTTCCAAACAAAACACCGCCATATCCTCTCATGAAGTTGCTCAATCTTTATCATTGAGCTCAAAGAAGTTGGAATTTGGCTTTTTTATTGAACTTTACCATTTTAGATTAATATTAATTACTTGGAACTTATTTCTTTGTTATCAGAAAGTTCAATCAATAATCGTTTGATTTAATCAAGAATAATAACTGAAAAATAAATCTATTTGTAGGAAAATGAAAATAAGGGAATCGAAGGAATTCAGGGATCCTCTGCAATGCAGAGAATTAATTCAACCTGCAAAGTATCATGAAAAAAAAGTCATTATAAAATAATTAAAAACTGCACCATTTGACTATATACCAATAAATATAGTCACTAGAATCAAAATCATGTAAAATCTCATGTCTCTTTGCCGGATTTGTGTTTCCATATGTTCTTCATATCAACCTCTCTAAAAAGTGCATTGAAACATAAGTCTTGATCCTCAATATAAAGTGGTATAGTCTTAGTGTTGCTTAAAGTTAGGCTTCTAAAAAACCAACATAAGGTCCCATGCACATTGTCTGGGATTATTTGGGACATATTGGTGATATCATGGCAATAAGGCACTTAAAAGGCAAAAGCCCTCAGAAATCTCTAGTTGATTTGTAGATGAACAACAATATGGACCAACAAAAATTGAAAAAATCAATTAGAAAAAAGCACATTTTCTAGAATTCATTGCACGTGTCCAAATCACCCAAGTCATTTTTCAGTTACCTTATCTTCAATTGTTGATGCTCAAAAATTTTTTTCTAATAGAATCATTTATTAATTTATTCATTTTTAATTTTGCCACATGCCGATCTTAGCATTCTTATGTCACACTTAACTTAGATATAAATGATTTTGGATAAACCAAGTTTCAAATAAACAAATCAATAAATTAAAGGGAGTCTCTAGAGTACGAAGAGGATTTTAGGGTTCTTACCAAGTACAAAATAGAGATGGTGATGAGACATCAAAGGCCATAGTAATAGAGATAGCTCCGCAAAATAGTGAGTTTTCACAAAAGCAACAAGGAAGCTATGACAGCATCGTCATGAAGGCCACAACAGTGAGGATTATCATAATCGTAGTAGAGATTCCATTTATTAATACATATGAAATTGATGAGGAGGTTATTGTCGCGTGACCGTGAAGATAATGGAAATTTTTTGCTCACATCGTTGAGTCTTAATCATAAAAAATAGCAGATAGCAAAAAACAAGGAAGAGCTTAACAGCACTCTTTTGTTGACATATTGTTAGGAGCAAAGGATTAAATGTGTGGGAGATTTAGGAACTGAGTCATCCGTACTTGAGTTCTCCCATGTATTTTTCTCACATTAATATTTCTGTATGTAGCTATTTGAGGTCAACCACTCAAATATAATGGCCCGTTGATAATTTTAAACGTTTCTTCATAATGATATCCCATTATAAGGTATAAAAGCATAAGAATCTATCACCATACCTTAAGAAATACTACACACACTACAATCACATAAATCGTTATCACAGGTAACAGATCGTTTGAGAGAGGTTTTGAAGGTTATAATTTCATTGTCACTTTTTTTCTTCATTTTTTGTTTTATCAATGCTAACTACATATGAATTACAAAGATGGTTGTGAATTCAAATTAACTAATGTCAGACAAAGAGAAATAATTAGCATTAGATACAAGGCAAATAACCGCAAAGAGACTATAAAATTTTTGGAAGCGTAACTAATTCATCCTGATAAATTTTTTTTGTTCTAGCAAAACTTTTCTTTACCATACATAAAGAAGTTTTCTGCGTTATTCCTGTACAAAAAATTTGATATATTTTGGTATGCTATGCATCAAAAAATAAGGTAAATAGCACAAAAGCTTTTTGCAAACAAGGTCTACAATAGATAATACACTACAAATATTGATGAGATGGGAGAAAAAAGGTGGTTTATTTCAGAAAGAAACTAAATAACTTTTCCAAGGATTCTTGGGATGCTATTGTTTAAATATCCTTCAATAATTATTTTTTCTTTCTCAATGAAACTCTAAAATAGCTTCATTATTTGAATAAATTTCATTCTTAATTTTTTCAATGCATATGTGTCATGTTCTCCTGATAAAAAGATATTGGAGACTGGAAAAAATAGCTAAAATGCTTTTGGTTCACAATACATGGTAATCTCAAACAATTGGGGAAACATTATGCATGAGAAATATTGTCGTGTTTTGGTGTCATCTGACTGAAAATTAAAATAAAGAGGAGCCACAACAACAAGCTTAGGCTCTGTTTTGGGCAGCTGCAACTGTTTAAATAAGCAGCTGTGAAGCTACTGAAGAAGAATCTGTTGTGCTGTGGTGGCTATTACAATTTTTTTTTTTAAACCAGACCACAACTTTCTAGCAACCTCCGCATAAAGTCTTGTGGAAAAACATAATTTTTAGCTACAACATTTTAAGAACGCAGGCAAAATGCAGTTTTGCCAAACAAAAAGAACTGTGGTGCCATGCAGCACCGCCACCGCACTGCTGCTCCAAACGCACCCTTAGTGATTAGCAAATAAGTTCTACAAACCGCAAGAACATCGTAATCAAGCTCAACAAAAGAAACAATATTATTCTGCATTTTATTTCAAGATATGTGTTTAAAATAATGATAGAAAAAAGAAAAATTTTCTAGAAGGTAAGAGTAAACTTACATTAGAAATCCCAATTTGAATCTCGTCCTGCATGTCATAGAGCACAAAATTAATCAAAGAAACCAAAGCAAAAGATCTTTTGGATGGGGATACATACATAGATAGACATAACCATACATAAAGAATAAATTGGATTAACATATTAATTTCAAATTCAAAGAAAAAGAATAATTAAATAAAAAGTTCTAGATTCAACATAACTTTAAGAAAATTTTAGTCATTGCTATTCAGCAATCAACCCCATTCCCGTGCATAGTTTTCAATAGAAAAGAACAATAGCAATTAAAGTAGAACATACAACTATGCAAGGCCGTGATTGAAGAAATCAAAGACTTTATGGTACACTTTAAGTGCTAGAATTTTACCAGAAACCAAAGCTGCCTATTGTAACCATTTGAGAATAAACATTTTATGCGTGAAAAGTTTGGGGAAAAAGTTTCAAATTATATCAATGATTCCAACCCAAGGAAAAAAATAATAGATTAATCAATCTCTTCCTGGATTTCTCAAACATCTCTATTGGATAAGGCATTTCAATCCAAATACAGAATAAATTTGCAAAACATATTCACATTTGGAGCTAATTAAGCATTGGCAACTCAAGAGATACATATGTCGCAGCAGTCATCCTTTTTTCTGAAAGCAAAACTAAAACAACCTGTTTCTCCCTCCCTCCCTCCTTCATATGACAAAAACTTTTTAAAAAATTAATTCATAAATTTATCAATTTTTAAACAGTTAACCAAAAACAACGGCAATAAGTGCTGTAAAATTAAATTCAGATTCCAACCTAATTAATACACCAGTTTATAAGAAACTTCATGACAGTATTGCATGAAATGTGTTTGCATTATTGCTTGTCTAAGCAGAAGAAATCATACACGTCTCGTAATTGCCAGATACAAATACTTGGTAAAACATATGAAAAGCCACATAATCTGAGTTCAAAGTGATCCATTATATAAAGGACAGAAAACGAACAAATTCCTAAAGATAATTCCCCGGAATATATGGGCATTCCAAACTTGGCGAGTTGATACTTTTCATAGTGAACAAGAACATTGAGATCAGGATTCAGGCCCCTCGAAATCCAAAAAAAAAAACACAAAATATGCCGAAAGGGAATGGGAATGTGGGGACGAAGAGGCGATATACCGCAATCGTATTGCAGGAGGAGCACTTGTCACCCATGGTAAACCCCAAGGAAAGGTTTGCGAGAATGAGAGCAAGCCATAGCACCGATCTAGGGTTCTTCCTCTTTCTCTTCGAGTCTCTGTCTTCCATGTCGCCCACAAGCATGCTACGATCACAGGACTTACCTTGCTTCCTATGAAGATTCTTATGTATTTACATATCTAACACCTATGTCATAATTTTTAGATTCACAGCCGTAAATTACTTTTTCCATGCAAGAAAAAATTATTTCACTTTCAAGTTTAAATAGTGGTATTTTTATGTAATATGAAAATTTAAATTAATGTAAATATAAAAAAATAATTTTAGTGTGTTACATATATAAATAGAGAAGAAATGAATACCTACTTAACCATAACGGAGTCAAAATGAGGAGAAATGTGAGCAAAAAAATTTGCGTACGTAAGACGTACGCAACGCTGCGTACATTTTTTAGGTTATACAAGAGGTATAAAGGAGTTATATTCGCGTTATACCCCATTGTAATCTTCTCTAACCTAACTGTAACCTACAATTAAGTTCTTAATATATTAAAACAGAAGTGCGGAACTTATTTGTATGTTACAGGTAAGTTACAAAAGGTTATATAGAGGTTACAAAGGAGTATGATGCAGATATACCCTCTTATACGTTTTGTATAACCTCCAAAATGTACGAAATTTTTTTCTTCAAAATGAGACATCTATTCCATCATTAATGGATTTTGAGTCATAAATTAAAAATTAAAATTTAAATTAATTTGGAGTCATAAATCATGTCAAGCGATGAATATTTTTAAAATAAAAGAAATGACTAGTTATTATATGAGCTCTCAGTCACGCATAATGTCTGACAATTCGAGTACCACACTCCATAAAGCGATCGTTATCATAAGAGAATTTGAACCCGGCCTCAGGGGACTTACAATTGACTCTCAGATACCAATAAAAAAATCGGAGTATGTGTGTGTGTATTGTTCTACGTGAGCATACGAGCAGCTTCTCTGATGGTCGTAAGTCCTCAGCTCATGAGTTTGATATGATGCTCGAATATTTAACACACTTTGAGATGGCTCGGACTCGTCTAATAACTTTTGATCAATCCTTTTTAAAAAATAAATAATGAAAAAAAAAATAATTATATATATA